CATCATCCTGCCTATTTCTACCGCAAAGTGTCCCGATAAATGCGTTTCGGTTTAAAGGACACCTCTTACACAATATAACTTAAGACTCCTTCAAATCTCAAAATTTTATATTACCAAATGGGCCGTTAACGCACCCAACCCCATCACCGCAAAAATAAAATCTGCCCACAAAGGTGATTAAACGAGACACGGTAAGCAATATAAAAATATTATTTCTCCATATTCGCTTCTTTTCACAAGATAATATTAGTGATAAAGCTATTCATCTGGCCCTATTCAAACTCCCACGATTTATATTCTAGCCACATTCTACATACAATAAGGCCCTTGCACGATACACATACTATTCGAACACATTGGATGGAATGGATGAATGGATCCACGTTGTTATAGAAAGCAAAATTTGATACCAACCTTGATCTTTGGACAAGTAGTTACTGAATCGGATTACTGTACAAATATACTTGGATCTTATAACGGCCAAGGCCAATTAGTATGTGTAATAAATAAAAGTTAATACACTTTACCAAAGCACATACATACGTGAAAATTTCCAAGACCTAGTCTTGGGCTTACTGACTAACACTACTTTAGTACGTATATAAATACGGATAAAGAGATTTTCTAAATTAGAAATTGTATTTTGTATGTTTGTGTAGCTTTTAATATATTATATACTAGCGACCCGCCCTCGCTTCGCTTCGGAAGCATTAAAACACACATGAAACAAAAAAATAAAAAAAAATAAAAAAAAATAAAAAATAAAAAAGTAGCCTATGTTCATCAGGGACAATATCGGCTTCTAATGGAAAAAGAATTTTTCAAATCGGTCCAGTGGTTTCGGAGCCTATTCGAAACAAACAAACAAACAAATCTTTCCTCTTTATAATATTAGCATAGATGTTACCGAATGTCACTATTTAATTAACTGGAAATAGTTAAAATTAACTGTTTCCTTGATGTTACGCATGTCAACAACTGTTTAAGACGGTATTCAAGAGAATTCATGACTATGCTGCCCCGACTTTCTCCTTCAAATACGAGTGACTATTGTCGTACAAAACATTCTGGCTCGAACAGTCTAACGGAGCGGAGCTCTCTGTTGCTGTCGCTGTACACTTGAAATGGAATAAATGGAATTCATTGGAAAAGTGACTCTTAATTACTGTCAATATGGAAGGCAATGATAATGATGAAGAGAATGGCGTCATCAACGTTGACGTCATCATTTTAAGAACACCATGGAACCAGCCCTACAGCCTTACCAGCCTTAAAGCCACTAAATGAGTGGACGAGCTCGCGGCCCACCTGATGTCTAAGTGGTGACCGGAGCTCATAGATATCTACAACGTAAATGCCGCCACCTACCCTGAGATATCTAAGATCTCAGTTTTTACAATACAACGGTTGCCCCGCCCTTCAAACCGAAACGCATTACCGCTTCACTGCAGAAATAGGCAGGGTGGTGGTACCTACCCGTGCGGATTCACCAGAGATCCCACCACCAGTTTGACCACCGCATAGAAGATACATTAAATCAATAAAGAAAACATTACACACACTACATACCATGTATTTGACGCACACACGCATGCATACTATTTATTGTCAAACTTTTGTTCTTGGCGTCTGTTGTCAAATTGAGAATAGATTATTTATTGTTTGTCTTTGTTAATATTTTTTATAATGTAGTCTTGGAGAAATTTGTGATTGTAGACGTATAAAATACAATCGAAATAGTGTACAAACCTACAATTCCAATTAATTATAGTCGAATTTCGACTACTGCGGGACCACTAGTTTTTATAAATTTGCAACACATAATACCTGTGAAGCTACTAACGTTTTAATTAATTACGCACATAAATCATTAAGTGTGTCAACTAATTATCTTATTACAAGATGCGGTGAGCTTATTAAAGCGAGATAAGTAATAACAGTGTAATAACAATTTAAAGCCTTGTTTTTTTTAGCTTCTTTTTTATTTTCTTACGTAGATGCGTGAACGAGCTCATCGCTAGCCTGATGTTAAGTGATTACTGGAGTCCTTAATCACAACAACGTGAATGCCACCACAAAAAAATATAATTTGCGTAATTGCTGGTGGTAGGACCTCTTGTAAGTCCGTACGGGTAGGTACCACCGCCCTGCCTATTTCTGCCATGAAGCAGTAATGCGTTCCGGCTTGAAGGGTGGGGCAGCCGTGTAAGAGACGTTAGAACTTATATCTCAAGGTGGGTGGCGCGTTTACGTTGTAGATGTCCATGGGCTCCAGTAACCACTTAACACCAGGTGGCATGTGAGCTCGTCCACCCATCTAAGCTAAAGAAAAATAAAAAAATTAAAAATACTTCATATCACAAACGCAATTAGTTCAACCTTGAACTCCTCGTCTTATCAAGTTTGATAATTTTCGTAACAGAAAAAGAAATGGAACGAAAGAGAAATATTAGATTGGAAAGGCTCGACGAGCGAATTAACCCACAGATACAGCCCACTGAGTTTCTCACTGGATATTCTCAGTGGGGCGCGTTTCCGATTCGGTGGTAGATTCTGGCGAAGCACTGCTCTTGCTAGGGTCAGTGTTAGCAACACTCCGGTTTGAGCCCCGTGAGCTCACCTACATGTTAGGGCGAAGCTGAAACAGCCTCTCAAGGCTATCAACATCATCATTATCATCAGCCTGCGGCAGTCCACTGCTGAACATAGGCCTCCCCCAAAGCTCGCCACTGAACCCGATCTTCGGTTAAAGGAGATAATCAGCATAGGTAGGAAAAAAAAGGCAGCTTATCGAGAGGTCTTATGAGTTCGGCACCCCGATGGTCATGTTTTTTTATTGATTACAGTAAAGCCTTTGATTGCGTCAAACGGAATCACCTGTGGAAAATACTAACAGATCTAGGAGTATCGCAACATTTGGTCCTATATAATTTTACATCAAATGATTATTTGCCACAAAACTGACAAGTTAGTAAGGAGTATTGACTTCTATCTATACATTAATACGTGAAGCAAAAACTTTGTATCCTTTTTTACGAAAATTGCGCGTACGGAGGAGTATGAAATTTTCCACACTTATAGAGAATATAGAGAAGAAGTACACAATGCTAATATTTTTTTAAAATAATGCATAAAAGATACATTAAATCAATAAAGAAAACATTACACATACTACATACCATGTATTTGACGCACACACGCATGCATACTATTTATTGTCAAACTTTTGTTCTTGACGTCTGTTGTCAAATTGAGATTAAATATTGTTTGTCTTTGTAAATATTTTTTATATTGTAGTCTTGGCCAAATTTGTGATTATAGAAGTATAAAATACAATCATAATAGTGTACAAACTTATAATTCCAATTAATCATAGACGAATTTTGACTACTACGGGACCTCTAGTTTTGAGAAAAACACAACCTATATTTTTTTTAACACACAGCTTACCCAATGAAAACTCACTCATAAGTTAGTTTCACTTAAGTTTCTTAACTAAAGTCCCTAGCTGTATCAACAAAGGTGCAAAGTTACTGAGTATTGTGTTAGAACTACAATAAAAAGATTATTATATAGTGTTCTCAGATTCTACGTGCAAATTTTAAAAACATTATAAGAGGTTTATTTGAAATTTTAGACATTTTGTCATCTTTTTAATACGCTTTTATTAGCTTCAGACGTATGTATGCTAGTATGTAACGGAATCTTTGAACATGATTTTGACCCCCTTCAAAACGTCGGATTAATTCGAAATTTGGTATAATTATTAAGGACTAACGACAATTCAATATTTAAAAAAAATTTGAAAATTTATGGAAAAAAATTGAAATCCAACTAAAAAATGAAAAATAAATAATAGTTTAAAAAAAGTAACAAAATACGCATTTATAGAAAATTCAACTAAAAAATATAAAATAATTCATAATAAGTTTGAATTGAAAATAGTGTACGAAAAATTTATTTTATTGAAAAAAAAGGGTGGGGTACATGGTATCAGTGTTATAAATATTTTATGAACAGATATAAGTAGAATGGTTATTTTGATAATATCCTGAAAAGCACCCCACGCTTTTTTTTTTACAATAAAATCATTTTTTCTTACATTATTTTTAATTCAAATTTATTTTCAATTTTTTTAGTTGGATTTTCTATAAAAGCGTATTTTGTTAATTTTTTTAAACTATTATTTATTTTATAGCTCAAGACGGGCAAACAAACTCAAGCTCGCATTCTCTAAAGAGGTAAGTGACTCCATTGCACTGCATAATGAATATCCAATCCATCAAACAAGAATGCAAGTCTTCTTCGCGGCGGAAATAAACAAGGAGTTGGTACGAATAATTAAGCTTTTTTTTTTATATATTGACTAACAATCACGCCACGTTAACTGGTCCCGTGATAAGTTCGTAAAGAACTTGTGTTACAGGTACCAGATAACGGAAATAAATGTAAGATTTTTATTATACACATACATTTAATATACATCCATAACCCTGGAAAAGACATTTATATTTATCATACAAATATCTTCCCTTGGCGGGATTCGAACCCGCGTCCCCCTTATGTAGTGACCATGTCACTTACCACTACACCAGACGGCCGTTATCTTTGCTGTGGTTGGATAACATAATCTCTACATCGCGAAGCTCAATCGTGAGCATAATCGGTCTAATCGTATCGCTCTCGATATGAACACACTGAATCCAAACAGACACGAAAGTTTGTTCGTATGAAGGGCTTCATAGAAACTCCTTCCAGTTCCTGACACCAATAGCTTTGAGGTCGTGCTCTACGTCTGAACAGAGCAGGGTGGGAACCCTGGGAAACTGCTCTGGGCTGTAAGGCCTAAGATGATGATGATGATGTTAATAGAAACTCATCTTGAATGCTGATTACCCGATGACATGAGACAGGAAAGCTAGCTCACAATAATAGCTACCAAAAAAGTACGCTATTAGATCACCTAGTATTTAGATGTTTGTCAAAACTATTCCACTTACCTAATGCGAAATCACAGGCGGGACCGAGGAATACATGGGCGCAGTCGTTATACGCGTCGATGGCGGAAATGACAGCATATGCTGCATCGCAATCTGTGACGTCATAGGTCTGCCACTCAAAGCCGACCCACGAGGGAAAGGCATCCTGGACCGCCGGATGCTGCATAGCCAGCTCCAACACTGGCTCCACCTGTGTATCGAATTACTAGATCAGTTCGTGATTCGTCACTGCATGATGTCTTAGGGGGAGGGAGGAGGGAGGGAGGGAGAGCATCATCCAATCTAGTCTCATGGTTTCCGTAAAAGGATGCGTAGGAGAAAGAGTGGCAACTCTTTTTAAGTACTATGCCAGCGTAATGCAATCTCCAAATAGTATTGGTACGCCAGTAAGAGTAACGCCTACTATTTTTTGTTTATTGCTTAGATGGGTGGACGATCTCACAGCCCACCTGGTGTTAAGTGGTTACTGGAGCCCATAGACATCTACAACGTAAATGCGCCACCCACCTTGAGATATAAGTTCTAAGGTCTCAGTATAGTTACAACGGCTGCCCCACCCTTCAAACCAAAACGCATTACTGCTTAACGGCAGAAATAGGCAGGGTGGTGGTACCAACCCGTGCGGACTCCCAAGAGGTCCTACCACCAGTGATTACGCAAATTATAATTTTGCGGGTTTGATTTTTATTACACGATGTTATTCCTTCACCGTGGAAGTCAATCGTGAACATTTGTTGAGTACGTATTTCATTAGAAAAATTTCGGGGTTGGTTGGTTTAATGCCTAAAAGCAACGCACTATAAATAAACGCAGAGGTTTCCGATAGTGTGAATAAATTCCGCTCCAGTGGCGCGAGGTGCTCCGTTAAAAATTGGAAGAATGGATCATAGGCCGTATTAATATTCTGCGTATTTCTGCCACTCACTTCAACTATACTTGAGACCATACAACTTATATCTCAAGGTGGGTGGCGCATTTACGTTGTAGATGTCTATGGGCTCCAGCTATCACTCAATATCATATAATATAATCAATCAGGTGGGCTGAGAGCTGGTCTACCTGTGAGGCGGTGGATATATTCTTGGCTATTACTAGGGCTTGAGCTCACCTACCCGTCCAGGCGTAGTTAAAATAACCCCTTAGGCTACCAGTAATAATACCAGAAAGAAATAAAATAAAAGTACATTTTAATTTTGCATAAAAAGGTATAGATAGATCCGGTATCGGTTTATGGATATTTTAGTAACACGAGATTGTATTATTACAACAGAACAATCGATCTGTGATTAAAAGGTTCCCTGACGTAATTTGCAGTGTATATATAGGTATGTACATAGTTATATCTGGGAGCCTCGAGCGTTCGTCTTTTGAATGTACCCTTCCCAAATTAAAATAGAACCCTCAACAATATTCGTCAGGCTACCGGGAGTTTCCCTTTTAACCGACTTCAAAAGAGTTGGAAGTTATCGACCGCCTTTTTTTCAATAACTTATTTTCTACGTAAATCAATTTTGTTGATTCCTTGAATTGAAATTGATGAATATTTCATGTTATTTTGTTAAAATCGGTCACAGTCGGTTAAAGGCGGTCACTTCCCACCTGGTGTTAAGAGATTACTGGAGCCCATAGACATCTACAATATAAATGCGCCACACACCTTGAGATATAAGTTCTAAAGTCTCAGTATAGTTACAACGGCTGCCCCACCCTTCAAACCAAACCGCATTACTTCTTGATGGCAGAAATAGACAGGGTGGTAGTACCTACCCGTGCGGACGCACAAGAGGTCCTACCACCAGTAATGAAAGACATAAGGAAGTATATGCCGAAAGGATATGCTGAAGAACAAAAGGGAATGCAATGTTGTTGTCGAGGATATCGAAGAAAGAGCAAAGTGGAGGAGTAGATTAAGGAAAGTTGACCCCACCACAATGTAGGATAAATAATTAGGAAGAGAGAAAGAGATTTCCCGGAACAGACGTCATTTACTCAAATATTGTGTACATTGACACGATCGCGTCGTCTCTATGATCTAATCATGAATAAACGCGATGTAATAAACTATTCAGTCACCCCACGTCCGATATTCTCAACAGAGTCGAGGTTATCATTGTCTTTACGATGGAAAGAAATGATTCAATGTCTGAGCAGATAGCTTATTACTGTCGAGACTAATTGACAAGGAATGTGTGTTTTCGATAGGTTCGTTTGTTTTGTATTGGCTAACGAGACATTGATAATGAAAGGCTATCTTTTTTTCTTACCTAAAATATAGTATAATTGGTAGCCTAAGGGGCTATATGAACTACTCAGGTAGGTGAGCTTACAGGCTCAGTCTGAGAGAATTGCTAACACTAGCATTTTTTTTATTGCTTAGATGGGTGGACGAGCTCACAGTCCACCTGGTGTTAAGTGATTACTGGGGCCCATAGACATCTACGACATAAATGCGCCACACACCTTGAGATATAAGTTCTAAGGTCTCAGTATAGTTACAACGGCTGCCCCACCCTTTAAACCGAAACGCATTACTGCTTCACGGCAGAAATAGGCAGGGTGGTGGTACCTACCCGTGCCGACTCACAAGAGGTCCTACCACCAGTAATTACGCAAATTATAATTTTGCGGGTTTGATTTTTATTACACGATGTTATTCCTTCACCGTGATAGAGTTAGTGCTTCGCTGAATCTACCACCGGATCGAAATCGCGAGCAGATCCGCCAAGAAATTTACTGGGTTAAAAGGCCTATAAATCATTATTCATCAATCATCATTACGTGAGTTGACTTGAGGGATTAAGGCGAATTCTCAGTTGTATTGTGTACTAGCGACCCGCCCTCGCTTCGCTTCGGAAACATTAAAACACAAATGAAACCATAAAAAAAAAAAAAAAAAAAAAAGTAGCCTATGTTCATCAGGCACAATGTCGGCTTCTAATGGAAAAAGAATTTATCAAATCGGTCCAGTAGTTTCGGAGCCTATTCGAAACAAACAAACAAACAAATCTTTCCTCTTTATAATATTAGTATAGATAATGAATGGCTTTTCTATAATTCAAAACGAAATGCATGACTGTGTGGCGGTATTAGGCGGAATGGTGGTACGTGCCTACATTACCACAAAGAGGAATTCTACATTATTATTATTTTTATTTCGGCAAAATATAAACAAATAAAAATACTTTTACAGTTCAATCTCGCGCTTTGAATACTTTAGTTAGTTACAGATTATTTTTATAGTAAAAGTTAACTTGTTATAGGAAAATAGACGGTAATTAACTAGCACAATGTTTTGATGTGAACGAATAATTACATTAGTCGTCCCACGTGATGACGAAAACTGTAAACTACATTCAAAACATCGGAAATAATGTAATGACTGAGCTGTAAAATTAGTTTGTTTACGACTGGTGAAAAGCGAAACAAACACAATTATAATTGTAGTTTCTTGAGCGGAATATTTCCTTCTTCAAACGAGTTTTAAAATCAGTTTAAGTGATGGGGCTGTCCTCTTCAGATTGCTCATGTTCGTCAGCGTCGATGACAACTCTGCATCAGACCATTACTGGTAGTAGAGCATGTTTTAAACGCGCATAATCAGGTACCAACACCGTGGCTATTTCTCCCGGAAAGCAGTCGTGAAATGAACCCTCTTAACAGTAACTATATTTTAGTGATATACCTATATATATGACGGATTAGGCTGGTACCGTGGTGTTTTTAAAATTATGATGTCCACGTTGCTGACGCCATTCTCATCATTATTATTGCCTTCCATAGTAACAGTTATTAAGACTCAGTTTTCCAATGAACTCCATTTATTACATTTCAAGTGTACAACGATAACAAGAGAGAGCTCCGCTCCGGTCGGCTGCTCGAGTCGGAATTATTTTAATAGCTCGTATTTGTAGCAAAAAGTGGAGGTATGTCTTAGTGATGTATTCTCTTGAATACCGTCTTATTAGACAGTTGTTGATGTGCGTAATATTAAGGAAACAGTTAAATTTAACCATATTTAGTTAACTAAATAGTGACGTTTGCGCCGACATATATATTACACAATTATTTATCACCAACTTATACTTGCAATCGCTTGGAAAAAGTGAAGAATTCTTTTGTCTTTTTTTTCATTCCTCTGTGTATTAAGTAATAGTCCTTTCAACGTCATTGCCTTGTAAATGGCATTGTTCGTCTGAATACATTTGATACATTTTCTTTTGTGTATGACGCACAGTCCATTGATTCCGTAGCGGAAACCGTTAAGTACCAAGTATAAATTTGGCAAAATATCGCAGGGACTTAGACATCTGGCTCATGGAACGGCTCTACCGCCACACGTTCGTAGGTTAAATAATGCTTGGTAATTTCGGCATTTTTTATATATTTATCACTCACGAATGAGCCGGTGTTAAGTGGTTACCGGAGCCGATAGAAATCAATAATGGCGCCACCCACCTTGAGATATAAGTTCTAAGATCTCAAGTATAGTAACTCAAGTGGGCCGTGAGCTCGTCCACCCATCTAAGCAATAATAAAAGAAACCTGATGTTAAGTGGTTACCTGAGCCCATAGACATCTACAACGTAAATGCCGGCACCCACCTTGAGATATGAGTTTCAGTACAGTACAACGGCTGCCCTACTCGTTAAGCAGAAACGCATTTCTGCTTCACGGCAGAAATAGGCAGGGTGATGATTCCTACCCGTGCGGACTCACAAGACGTCCCACCACCAGTAAGTATCTATGTATGTATGTCTCAATTGTTTTTTATAACCACTGCCATAAGTTAATGACTCGCGAAAAATTACGTTGTTTCTATACTCACAGCACCGATACACGCTCCGAACGTTATGTTCTTCGGGAGAAGTAGGGCAGCTTTGATCTTACAGTTGCCCTGCTTGTCGCAGAGACGATCGCAATCGCGGAGCCGAGGTTTCTCCCCGCGGCAGTTCTGCGATTCACCCCAAGGGATCGCGCACACCACTAGCAACACAGATAACCACATTTTCACGTTATCCACACATTGCGATCACTTCACTGCACATGACTTAATGAAGGTACACTGTGACATTTGCATCTGAAACAAAACAAAATAATGTTCATACTCTTATACTCATATAACGTCGAGGTTTGATATTGGTTGAGTGAATTTTTTGCAACTTTACAGGATCAGCCATTAATTCAAGTTTAAAATTTGGAAAGAATACCGACACATGTTCACGACTCAAAAGAAATATGTTTTTTTTATTGCTTATAAGACGAGCTCATAGCCCCCCTGGTGTTAAATGGCTACTGGAGCCCATAGACATCTACAACGTAAATGCGCCAGCCACCTTGAGATATAAGTTTTAAGTTCTCAAGTATAGTTTTTGTCCTCTTTCGTCCGTAGATCAGAGGTGTAGACAACTTGGAACGTCTGATGGTCACTGGGAAAGTAGAAGGAAATCGTCCTAGAGGCCGGAGCCCCAAACGTTGGTCCGACCAGATCTCCCAGTAAACCAGCGGACCACTTAGCGCTGCACTAGCGCTAGTAGGTGAGCTCACGGGGCTCAAACCTGACGACGTTGCTAACACAAACCCTAGCGAAAGCCGTGCTTCGCAGAATCTACTACCCATCGGAAACGCGGCCCACTGAGAAGATCCGGCGAGAAACTTAACGGGCTGTGTCTGTGGGTTAATTTACTCGTCGAGCCCTTCGTCGCAAGCGACGGGTTCGACGAGAACGATGACCGGTGCTTGACGTACCTAAAAGCACCGTTAGTGGATTGAAAGGATCCAAAATGACGTGTTTAGGGCGACGTCGACATATACAATGACGAATCAACTATAGATTTTTTGAAAAACCTCAAAAAGTACTCGCTTCCTCTTTCAAGACTATCTTTATATTACAATTATTAATATCGCCCTAGCAATAAATATTTATTGACTCACTAATTGCATTAATTTTATAACACAAACACACGGTAGGTACTCAACACTATCGTGTTATCATTGATAATGCAGAGAGAAAAGGCCGATAATACTTTATTTTCGTCTTTGATTTCGGATAAGCGACCGGTACAATAATAATAGACGTTATCAATCCTACCAACACTTTAGATAACATTGCTGTCACCAATTCGTATGAGCTACGTTGTATTTAGTATGTAGCTGTAGTGTTTTATTTTATTTTCATTGTTGTTTCTTTGTAGGCTGCTCAAGGGTTGTTGTTACTGTGTGTGCTTATGTATGTATCTCGTAGTCGTCGTGGCCTAAAGGATAAGACGTCCGGTGCATTCGTGTTGAGCGATGCACCCGGTGTTCGAATCTCAGACGGGTACCAATTTTTCTAATGAAATACGTACTCAACAAATGTTCACGATTGATTTCCACGGTGAAGGAATAGCATCGTGTAATAAAAATCAAGCCTGCAAAATTATAATTTGTGTAATTACCGGTGGTAGGACCTCTTGTGAGTCCGCGCGGGTGGGTACCACCACCCTGCCTATTTCTGCCGTGAAGCAGTAATGCGTTTCGGTTTGAAGGGTGGGGCAGCTGTTGTAACTTACTTGAGACCTTAGAACTTATACTTCAAGGTGGGTGGCGCATTTACGTTGTGGATGTCTATGGGCTCCAGTAACCACTCAACACCAGGAGAGCTGTGAGCTCGTCCACCCATCTGAGCAATAAAAAATAAATAAATAAAAAGATTTCAGGGTCCTATAGGTCCTAATTCGCTTCCTTCCAAGCTATTTTTACCAGATCGTCGGTCCATTTCATTGGTTTTCTGTCCACGTTACGACATTCAGTACGAAGTCTTTATAAAATGATTTTCAGATTGATCATCACACCGCGGTATCGAATTTCAAATTATGTTTGAATTCTTACAGAGGGTTTTACCCAAAGCATTATCTGTTACCCCCCCCCCCCACCCCACCAGTGAAAACGGTTCGCACACGATTTAAAAAAAGTAACGATTTAGTAGATACTATTTAGATTGATACTGTAGGGCGTATTGCTAGCCACCGCCCTGCCTATTTGTGCCGTGAAGCAGTAATGCGTTTCGGTTTGAAGGGTGGGCCTATCCCACTATAAAACTGGGACTTAGAACAAACATCTCAAAACTGCTCAAAATGGGCTCTGTCTGATCATGGGTAATCAACCACTCATCTAAAAAAATGATTTACGATAGCAACGTCCGAACTCATAAAGAATTTCGGGATCTAACTAGTTCGATTTATTTTAACATATTGTTATTACGTAGTGTTCCTACAAAAATTAATGTAATGTATCTATTGAAGCTCTTGAAACTTGAAAGCTTACCGAACGTACGAAACGAAAAGTTTACCCTTTACCGGTTGCCTGGTTGAGTGAACACGCTAAGTTGATACGGGGCAGGATACATAATACATTAAGGCGAAGGGTTATTTATTACTGAAGTGTTTTTGGGGCTGGTGGTAATTACTTAATATGCAAGATTATGACAAAACTGGTGACGTCACGGAGTCATTACGAACGGGAATGCGGCTAGCAGCATGGTATTTTTAACATTCTTTCTCCTGCGAGCGATTGGTGTCAAACAAGTCCGAGTTGTTTAAAAGAAGTGTTATTGGCTCACATCATTCAACAATCCCATTACTTTTCAAATAAAGCAACTCAATTCAAATGTAATTTTTACGGCTTAATTTTCCGACGCTTCCAATACCTTATGAATTTTGTGGTCACAAACGACTCGAGACAAATGGTCAACGACCCGAGAAATCCGAAGTAAAAACAATAAAGCAACGTTAAATGTAAATAAACTTTATTAAAAAATGTTATGATTTTTCTTAAAAAATGCGAAGAAACTTTTTCCCCAACCTATTATTACAATAATAATATAAATAACTAATACGAATAACTCATATTTCTAGAATAATCCTAGTATTATTGCATCTATTAAAATAGTTTACTTTTAATGATGCCGCATTTTTATCTAACATCTATATATTAATACGTGAAGCAAAAACTTTGTATCTCTTTTTACGAAAATTGCGCGGACGCAGGAGTATGAAATTTTTCATACTTATAGAGAATATAGAGAAGGAGTGCACAATGCTAATATTTTTTTTAAATAATCCATAAAAGATACATTAAATCAATAAAGAAAACATTACACACACTACATACCATGTATTTGACGCACACACGCATGCATACTATTTATTGTCAAACTTTTGTTCTTGACGTCTGCTGTCAAATTGAGAATAGATTCAATACTGTTTGTCTTTATTAATATTTTTTTAAAGTGTAGTCTTGGCGAAATTTGTGATTATAGAAGTATAAAATACAATCATAATATTGTACAAACATACAATTCCAATTAATTATAGTCGAATTTCGACTACTGCGGGCCCACTAGTATCTATAAAAACATCTGCGAGCACATACAAATAATAAATTTTCGGGGGAAAACGTTTGCCACGAGGCGAACTCCCGTCATTGCGAGTGTCCGTAAACAAATCGCCTTCGGCTGTGTGAAAGAAACAAATCGCACATCACTCAAACTGAGTTTTAAAGTGCTACATTATGGCTTTAATTGCTACTGTTCAATGTTTTTTGTACGAAAACGCGTTTGCATTTCACGTTCTCGGGTTCAGTACCTAATTTTTTTAATTTATTCATTTAAATAATAAATAAATAAATATTTACTAACAATCACGCCACGTTAACTTGTCCCGTGATAAGTTCGTAAAGAACTTGTGTTACAGGTACCAGATAACGGATATAAATGTAAGATTTTTATTATACACATACATATATCTAATAGACATCCATAACCCTGGAAAAGACATTTATATTTATCATACAAATAGCTTCCCTTGGCGGGATTCGAACCCGCGACCCCCTTGTGTAGTGACCATGTCACTTACTACTACACCAGACGGCCGTTAATTTATACTTTATTTCAGTTTTTTTTTTTTAAACCGTAACATTTTGTTAGTAAGAATCACTTATAATCTATGTTAGTAACTTAAAAAATCTACCACATAAATATAATTACATACATTTTATATCATTACTTTTTTTTCCCTTCCAAGTGCCTGCTGCAAAGGCTATTAATCAGCAGTCCCTCGATCGTGCTCGATATGATTTTCAGAAGACTGTTGCCACTGTCTCTGGCTCGACGCAATAACGATGCACTTCTCTTCCGCATTATTGCAAAGAAGTCATCGGTGTGAGATGTCGCAAACATTTTGTTTTTTTTAAATAGAACTCTACATGAATATCTTTCGAAAAAGCTATCGCAGTTAACATAGGTCAAGACGTACATCCAATACCGATATTGGCATACCAATTGTTTGACGGCACCTTCCAAAATCGTAGAGTTACTTATAAAATCGCGTAATTTCATGGAAATTATTTTTACGCCCGCATCAACCTTTTACATTATTATTTGATAATCGGTAGTAATCAGTGAAAGTGGACGATATTTTGAGTCTTGATAGACCATAAGTACTGAACTGATGGTGGGGCCTCTTGTGAGTCCGCACGGGTAGGTACCACCACCCTGCCTAATTCTGCCGTGAAGCAGTAATTCGGCTTAAAGGGCGGGGCAGCCGTTGTAACTATATTGAGACCTTAGAACTTATATCTCTAGGTGGGTGGCTCAATTACGTTGTAGAGGTCTATTGGCTCCAGTAACCAATTAACACCAGGTGGGCTGTGAGCTCTTCCACGCATTTAAATAATAAAATTTTATATAAATAAACCACAGAAGTATCGTTTTTTATTACTTAGAAAGTGGTTGCCGGAGCCCATAGACATCGACAATGTAAACCCCGCCACATCTCTTGAGAATGAGTCTCAAGTCTCAGTTCTATATTACAACGGCTGCCCCATCCTTCAAACCGAAACGGCATGACTGTTTCACGTCAATAATATGCAGAGCGATACCTAACACCCAAAACACCAGACTTCGAAGACTCCGTCGAGATCAAACAGTATCATTATCCCCTAATCCACTACGTCAAACCACCAGTACAC